GAAGAACAGATACCCGCATGCATTAGTACATCAAGGTTTTTTTCTGAAGGGAAATTAGGTCCCTTTTTCTGAAGTCATTGTTTCTACAAGTCTTCCCCGCCACATTTGCTAGGCACAATGGTCAAAGGTTGGCATCCTGGCATTTAGTAGGCAACGCCACATTCTGAGTATCACTATTCAAATAAATTCTAAAGGAGGATGCGGGAAAATTACTAGTCTTGGCAAAGTCCTGATTTGGTTAATTAATCCTTTTCATTTCATGCAATCTAATTACTGAAACATACAGTAAATATTGACATCTGCAGTCAATCCGATAGGAAAAACAATGAACAATTGCAATTAAGGGGCTATACACAAGAAGCTGGTGATCCTTGCGACAAGCACTGCACCTGGCAGGACGCTTTGCATGCATCTGCAGTGGATGCTGCTGATTTGAATGGACCCAGAAGCCCCTCAAAACAGACCATGGGGCTCCTCCTAGTGGTCAATGATATAAATTCCTGATAGTTTTAAAAGGAGTCTCAGCGAAACATGCAACATGAGTCATATTTCACCCCAAAATCAAACGAAATATACGATTATAGTATTTTGTGAAACAGGCCTATTTTTCTACTATTTGTATTATTATACCTTTTTAAAAAAAAAAAAAATAATAATAATAATAGTATTTTTCACAGTATTTTATAAAATGATCTTCTCCCTAAATAAAATTTAGCCTATTTTTATATTATTATTATTTTGCGTTTTGACAATTTTCATGAAAACTAAGCACATTTCCCTCTCAGTTCTCATTATCATAATGCATCCGGTTGTTCTGCTTTTCAGCATTTTTATATTTCTCATTATTCTTAGTGATCATGCACGTTATATTTTTAGTACAGTAATTCAAATTAATCCTGTCCAGAAAGGATGCTTTTTTTTAAAAATCAGCATAAATCTAGCAAAACAAATACTATGATGATCCTTAAATCCATTAATATGATTTATTTTCTATTCTCTTACAGTAATGAGAAGTGCTTTTTCTAGTCATGAAATTGTCATAATGCACATCTTTTTTTCAGGTTCTGATTTCCTATTTTAAAATCATGCAAATCTTAATGTAGACCAAAACAATTATTTTTGCTTGTGATTTTGGAGTGAAATGTGTTCTTGACAGGTTTCATGAGATTCAACCTTTCATTCTGGTTCCATTTTTGTAGAAAATGCCATTTTTATATATAAAATGTCATTTATTCTTTATTCTACCTGTACATTTCTCTGTTTTCTTTGTGACTGTGTATATTAATACTGGTATATAATTACAGCCTGAGGAAGAAAGCATCGTAAATATGAGTGATACAGATGTTGTTTGAGCCGCACAGCGACCTTTGTGGCATTCTTATGTCATCATCCTGAATGAGCACATTTATACTCCTCCACGTTGTGATTTAGTTACGGAATTATAAATTTCATGAGTCCCTGACTCTATAACAGTCCATCAAAGTATAAGATTTGGCTTGGTTCTTTTCTCCTAAATATTTTCAAATTGCTACTCAGAATGACAAAACCAAAACTCAAATGAATAAGTTTGTCTAAACACAGTCTTCTTGATTGTAATTTGCATAGAAATATTTCCATAAAAACATTGAGAAGATCCTGATTCTATTTCAAAGGGCCTTACATTTCCAGTACTACTTGTGGAAGGTCTCACCAGCGAGCAGCGACCAATACTGGATTCTCATGAACAACAAGAGCTCTTTGTATATATTTTGTGACAAATCCATATCAAGGCTGGAAACAGTTTTATAGAATGAGCTCACATTGTTCACTAATAGGAATGTGCTGACATATTGTCTCTTTTGCCAGAGATTGCTACTACTTTTGCTGATTAAAAGGGAAACTATCATAAGTCTGCAGGAACCCAGAGATGATGTGAAACTAGAAGACAGCTTGATTTCATGCTGAAAAGGGTCTTGAGTACAAGTATACTTAGCGTATGTTAGTATAACAAGGATGCTAGACTGATTTCTGTCAGAATTCTTCAATTCTAACTGCTGAAAGGAAGCAAACAGTTGTTTTAATAGTCCATTTTGGCATTCTGTCAGTCTGCCATTCTATACACACGTAAGCTGGTGTTTGCTGTAGTCTCTTTGTGTTTGCATGAGTGTGAGATTGTTTGTTTGCGCGTCAGACCAGCGTGCCTGGTGTGGGTCTGTCATTACTGCTCTCTTTAAGTGTCATGTCCTGCATCTTGGATGAAAAGGTATCTTGGTACAAAGAAAGTTCCATCGACCTATAAGTGACAAGAAAGAAGAGGTAAAAATCAGATGACATTGAAGAAAATCAAATATATATAGAACAATGTACCAGAGTGTCCACAAACATAAGCAGCTCAGCTACTGTATTTTTAACACTGAAAATAATAGGAAATGAAATCAGCATATTATGATTTCTGAAGGATCATGCGACACTGAAGACTGGAGTAATGATGCTGAAAATTCAGCTTTGCATCAAAGGAATAAATTAAATTTTAAAAAAAAAATAGAAAACTGTTCTTTTAAATTGCAATAATATTTCACAATATTACCAATATTTTACAATATTGTACTTTTAATGTGGGCTTATTGAGCATCAAATATTCTTTAAAAAAACATTTAAAAATTGTACCAACCTCAAACATTTGAATGGTAGTGTATAAATATAAAATATTTAAAATGTTAATTTAATGTTAATTGGTAATTCTTGTTCAAGGATCACATGACACATGAGGACTGGAGCCATCACAGGAATATTATAATATTTTTTTAAATGTAATTGATTCCTGTGATAGCTCCAGTCCTCAGTGTATTAAAACAGAAAACAGTTATTTATTAGTTTATTAAAATAGAAAACAGTTATTTTAAATGTCAATAATATTTCACAATAATATTTCAAATATTTAAATATAAAATAATTAAAATGTTAATTTAATAACATACTATTGTTTATTCAAAATATATTATTATTATTATTAATTCCTGTTCATTCAAAATATTGTGATGAAAATTGCATTACAAAATGTATTAGTATATGCAGAAAAGAACATAATATCTAATGTAATAATTCATTAATACAAATGTATTAAATGTACACTACCAGTCAAAAGTTTTTGAATTTTTTAAAATGTTTTTTTAAAGACGTCTCTTCTGCTCACCAAGCCTGCATTTATTTGATCCAAAGTACAGCAAAAGCAGTAATATTGTGAAATATTTTTACTATTTAAAATAACTGCTTTCTATTTGAATATATTTTAAAATGTCATTTTTTCCTGTGATTTCAAAGCTGAATTTTCAGCATCATTACTCCTTCCTGTAGGGAGGCGGAGGAGCATTGGGACCGTCGGGCCACGGCCGGGCTTTTGCATTACTTTGCACCTGCAGCCTTTGTTGTTGCTGAGCTTGCATCTTCTGCTGCTTCCCCCACACATAATCCATGAGGATCTCACTGTAACCGACACCTCCGTTCGTTCCTCGACCTCCCGCGGCCGAGCGAACGTGGGCCAGCTCGGCGTGCCCGTTTACCTGCCGCTCGGGGCTGCTCCGCTGCGCCTGTTTTAAAGTCGTGTCCATGATGGCTTCCGAGCTCTTGTACGGGCCGTTGCGTACAGGCATGCCTGACCTTTGACCTCCATCTTCCGGTGCAGTGCCGTGATGCATTAAGTTGATCAGAAGTGACAATAAACACATTTATTAATTGTATGTATTTTTAGGTGTAATACTGTTGTCCTTGCTTACTGGGTTTTTGTAGAGCACTTTTTGTTGTATCAAACTGTATTTATTGTTGTTTTTTTTAAAGTGCAAATCAAACATATTTCAGTGTTTCCCCTAGGTTTACGGCTTTTAATAATTAAATTAATACAATTATGATTTACTTTGTAAATATATACACTACCGTTCAAAAGTAAATCAGTAAGATTTATATTTTTGAAAGAAATTAATACTTTTATTCAGCAAGGATGCATTAAATTAAAGACATGTTAGTAAAGACATAATGTTACCCGTTTTAATTTATAATGTCAATAATAAATTATAATATAATGTTAATGTTTATAATGTTTGAAAAAGATTTCTATTTCAAATAAATGCTGTTTTTTTCAATTTTCTATTCAAATAATTCAGCTTTGCCATCACAGAATAAATGACATTTTAAAATATATGGAAATAGAAAACAATTCTTTTAAATTGTAAAAAAATATTTCACAATATTACTGTTTTTATTGTATTTTTGATCAAATAAATACAGCCTTGGTGAGCATAAGAGACTTCTTTCAAAAACAATATGAATGGTAGTGTACATTTTTTAAAAGCAACAAATGTGACAACCAGAACAGCAAAAACAAAACTCATCATTACATGATGCTAGAGATTAATATTTACAGTTAGGGGGTTGGTAAAATCAGTAATCAGTAGTAACACTTCTAATTAATACATAAATTCAAAAAGCATCAATGAAGCAGCAAGACTGCATTTCTTATTTAAAGGGAGTCCACACACCCTCATGTTGCTCCAAACCTGTATGACTTTCTTTGTTCTGTGGAACATAAAAGATGATATCTGAAAGAATGCTGGTAACCAAACAATTTCAGTTCTCAATGACTTCCATTGGACAAAAAATACAATGGAAGTCAATGGAAACCAACATTCTTCCAAATATCTTCTTTTGTGTTCTACAGAACAAAGAAATGCATACGACATGAGGGTGAGCAAATAATGACTGACTTTTCTTTTTTTGATGGACTATCCCTTTAAGCTACCCAAGTGATGCACTGATTAAATGACAGCCACACAATGCTTTAGTGTATATGCTGATAGTAGTGTCTCCCAGTACTGCGGCACAACAAGCTGCTCTGTATGTGTAATTAAATTGAGTAGGAAATAATGGGGCTTTAAACTCAACCTCCTTATACATCCATTACTTCGTTACACATTATTGCAAATAAGTAATTTAATCAAAATGTTTGTGTCATTATCAATTCAAGGCTTTTAACTACAATATAAACCATTAGCTAAGTGTCTACTTGGCACTGATCTGAGACAGCATTCGAGCTGATGTGTGCAGTGATGTGACATATGTTTGTGTATGTGTGTTTTGCGCATTTGTAACCTGATGTGCACTCCTGCTATTCCATTGCGGGACAGGAGCGGAGTTGCCGGGACACTTCTACCTTCCAGATTTGACACACTTCTTGGAAGAGAGTGACTCGGGCTGGGAGAAAAATACAAGTAAAGTCTTCTTGTTATGAATCTAGCACACAGTTAACAAACCTGGTTTGTTGTTATATGGTGACTAAGACCATTTTATAAAACTGATGATGAAATAATGTTGTAGTCTTATTATTTTCGTTCAAACAATATTATTTTAATTAAAAAATCACCACTACATTATGATTACAGTATAGTCAACAATGTCTTTTAGCTTAAAACAACAGTTCATCAAAACTTAAAATCTTCTGAACATTTGCTCAAACTCATCTACACCTTAGATGGCCAGAGGGTGTTTTTTTTTCATTATTTAGCATTACAATGTAGCATTACATCACTTGTTCACCAATGGTTCACCAATGGATCCAATGACCCAATGGGTGCCGTCAGAATGAGAGTCCAAACAGAGGATAAAAACATCATAATAATCCACACAACTCCAGTCCATCAATTATCGGCTTGTGAAGTCAAATGTTTGTCGTGTGGATTACTGTGATGTTTTTATCAGCTGTTTGGACTCTCGTTCTGACGGCACCCATTCACTGCAGAGAATCCATTGGTGAGCTAGTGATGTAATGCTAATTTTCTCCAAATCTGTTCTGATGAAGAAACGAACTCATCTACATCTTGGATGGCCTGAGGGTGAGTAAATGTTCAGCAAATTCTAATTTTTGGGTGAACTATTCCTTTACTGCCTAAATGTCATTGAGTGGTACAGAGTCTTTATTCTAGAATCAGGTTTTAATTACAAACCACTTAAACTGTTTTTCATCTAAATGAGGTGATTTCAGGCCAGCTTATCAATGCTGATTCACCATAAAGTGGAAAAACAGCTGTTTCTACTTTCTCATGCTGAGCATGAAAGCAAATTGTGCTGAGTGTGTACCTGGCTGAGCTGGCCACAGAGTTGCGGCGTGTTTTCATCTCGTAATAGATATCCACAGGGGAGAGTTTTCGAGAAAACCTGTTGTCTGGGCTCCCCGAGACCAGCCGGGGCTGTGAGGGCGACAGGCCGTCAGAGGCGTCTTCTGATGGAGAGAGAAAGAGACTTGTGAGGTTGAGACAGAAGCATGCTTTCTACTTCACAGAGATAAACTTTAAAATACACTACACACTTCAAAGGTGTGGGTCAGTAAGATTTTTGAAAGCAATTGTTATGCCTCCAAGGCTGCATTTGTTTGATCAAAAATACAGTAAAAACAGTAATATTGTAAACTATTATTACAATTTAAAAGAACTGTTTTCTATTTGAATATATTACAAAATGTAATTTATTTCTGTGATGCAAAGCTGAATTTTCTTCAGTGTCACATGATCCTTCAGAAATCATTCTAATATGCAGATTTTTTTGCTCAAGAAACATTTCTTATGATAAATACTGAAAATGGTTGAAAAACTTTGTAGAAACCACAATATATTTTTGTAGAATTCTTTGATCAACTGAAAGTTCAAAGGAACAGCATTTATTTGAAATAGAAATCTTTTGTAGAAATCTTAATGTGTCCTTTCTGAATAAAATGATTAAATTTTGAACAGAATATAATACAGAAGATTTTATAATTTCATTGCATTAAAAAACAAAACAAACCCAGTGTGATCTGTGCTCAAATGCTGCACAAGTTATATTTGTGCTATATTTCTTTATGAATAAAAGCAACTTGGTTTGATATTTTCATGTGTCTTAAGAAAATAGATTTTGGGGCCACTGAACATACACAAGTGCTTTTAAAAGAGGGTACTTATGTATCAATTACAGCAAAATTCATAGTTATAATGCCACACCTTCAGGAACTAAGGACAAACAGTGACTTAATCACTATATTAACTATTTTGTTTCGTCTTTATAACTATTACAGGCATGTATTTCAAATAAGTGCTGTTCTTTTGAACGTTTTATTCATCAAAGAAATTATCTTTGCATGACATCTAAAATATATAAAAATAGATTTTTTTTTAAATTATAATAATATTTCACAATATTACTGTTTTTACCCTATTTTTGTTGTTATTTGTAGTGATGCTTTGGCAATGTTGTGTATAAAACATTTTCAGTATGCCAATAAAACACAACACTTCTTGATCAAAAATTGAGAGAGAAAGAGAGAGCGCGAGAGAATGTGTGAGAATCAAAATTGCCATAGGGAGAGGATTAGTTCAGTGAGTGTTAATAACAGGCTTTTGACTCATTGATGTGAAGACTCTAATGACCCCCGCGGGGTCTCTCCGTCCACTCAACTCATCCTGCCATTGTAATAGTGCTTCTTATCTCAGTCTCTCGAATTCATTATCCTGCTAATGTAATGCGCTGATCCGTCCCATAACTCACCAGCGTCCTGATTGGTGGAATCAGACGTGGAGCTGCTCTCTGACTTCACCGTGTTATCTGAGGACATAAACATTTACATTATGTAACTCAACTGAACTGATACACACATTACATGAGGTTACATAAACATACTGTATTGGCTCCATGCTGCTGATCATGGATGAGGTTATATTGTTGTTATATTGTAACATTGTCTATGTTATTATATGTGTTAGATGTACAAAAATGTCCCTGGAAGTCCACTAAATTGGGACAAAACCTTCTTTTAGGTTTTCCTCAAATCTAAAAGCAATGTTTTTGTAAAGAATTTCTATAATTATATTTATATTTCTAAAATTGTGGAAATATTTATTCATGATTTTATTCACAAATTACTTGTAAATAATTTCTATATACAATTGTGGAAATACTTATTTAACATTTTTAAAATATTTTTTTTATTATTATTTAAAGGGGTTTGCGGTTACAGTTAGTAGTTATTAAAGTCTATAGTTTGTCTAGTGTTATTTTAGTGTCATGGAGATATCGTTTATATTTATTAATATTTGAAATTGTTTTAATTTTTATATTTTTTCGTTTTTGTAATTTTGTTGTGTGTTTTTGTCATTTCTATTAGTTTTTGATTAAATAAGTCTATATAGTATAGAGTTTTTAATCAATTAATTATTTTATTTAAGTTTTAGTTTTACTTATTTTAGTTCATCAAGAAAATGAGAAATCCTGCCTTGACAACTAGCTGAAATCAGTTTAAGATTTATTTGTATTATATTTTATTTTAGTTAAAGTTTATTTGATTTCAAATAAGAGATTTTTTGTGTCCTCTTAAGGTGAAAAAAACATGGTTACTATAGTTAAACCATGGTAACCACAAATTAACCATGGCTTTACAACAATAAGCTTAATTTTACCATGGCATTTGTTGTAAAACTGAAAAAAAAACATGGTCAGCCTACTACCGAAGAACCCGCACCTGAAGTCTGATCTGAATTAAAAGATTTGCGAATCTGCTCCTAAGTTCCGATCTAAATCAAATTATTCCCATTCCGCGCTCCGCAGTCCCGATCTGAATAATGATTCGCAAACCATCATTTCAGATCAGGACTTTGGAGCACATATCGTGAATCATTCAATTCGCGAAATGATTCGTGAACCTGCTCCGAAGTTCCAATCCGAATCAAAAGATTCACAAACCCGCTCCGAAGTTCGTCCGATCTAAATTAAATGATTCGCGATCCTAAGTTCCGATCTAAACCAAATGATTTGCAATCCACGCTCCGTAGTCCAGATCTTAATAATGATTCGCGAACCATAATCGCGATCGAGAATTATTCAATTTACGAAATGATTTGCAAACCCGCTCCCAAGTTCTGATCTGAATCAAAAGATTCACAAACCCGCTCCAGAGTTTTGATCTAAATTAAATGACTCGTGAAACGCGCTTTGAAGTCCCGATCTGAAACTTTTGTGACGCAATAGTTTAACTGATTCAGAGTTTCGAAACGCTCAGTTTCACTCATGACAATACTTGTTTGTTTTTTTCAATTACACGCGATGTTGCAATTCGAAAATGAATGAACCTACATAGAAGATGAATCTACATAGAGTGATAGTCAATGTAAAAAGAGCAAATGGGAAAAGCAGAAGAAAACAAAACAGCATAACAACAAAGTTAGAGGGTAAACTTTATCATTCAACTGAACTGTGCACGTATGTTTTAGCCACTTCGGCCCATGTATTAAATGTGCATCCTTGACAGTGTGCAGTTTTCTAGCGTATTTCTTTAAAGGCACAATATGTAAGATTTTTTTATTAAAATATCCAAAAACCACTAGAACAGTGTTATATATTTTGCTGACTTGTGTACTTACATTATCCCAAATGTTTCGAAGAATGTTTAAATCCAGAGAAATAAGCAATTTTAACTAGTGACACGGACCGTGTCCATAGTGTCATTGTGTCGCCTGCCAAAGTAGTCATAACCCCTCGATTTCTGGTTTTGTTTTGTAGAAAACGTGGAAACACCAAAGACGCTTTACTATGTTGTGCGTTTTAATAGACCGGTGACGACCGCACAGAGTAGCATTATAACAGAACTTTCAAATGTATCTAGTATGATAAAACAGCGCTGCTTTACCCCACGTACGCACGACCGGAAGGAGCGGAAGCGGTCGTCTGTGGCATAATAAAAGCTCCGCTGCTTTCGAGCCGTGTGTCACGCTCGTTCAGCGGCCTCGTTTCGCTTCGACGGCTTTCAGCCTCACCCTGCTTCATTCTACTACATTAATAAATCATTAGCTCATCCATAAACATGATTTCTGCCCGAGTCCCGTCGGATTGCATCGGCTGTGGGGATGAAGACGACAACACACGATTCCACACTCAGTCACGGCGTCATCAAACTACACCTTTGTCTATTAGTTTATTTTGAATCCACGCCCTCTAGCGGCGAAAATTACATATTGTGCCTTTAACTCCTCAGGCAATGTCAGTGGTATGACCTATTTAAGATGTGTCTGAGATTACAACAACAATGGTTACATACACATATATTTAATTGTTGAATCAAATTTATTGCTTGGGACAATTTAGTGGCTGGATATTGGTAGGGACATGTCCCTAGCATCCCTAGTAAATTCTATGCCCTTGGTTTTAGTTGTAGTTTTAGTTAACTATAATAACCCTGGTTTGTCTTTATCCAGACAGCTACATAAACTTGTGTGTGTTTATTTTTCACTGAACCTGCATCATCATTATAGTAATAATGGCCGGAAACAGGCTGGTTCCTCAACACTTCCTGTTACACAACCAACACATCTCACGTGTCTCATTTAAGGCGGACTGTTACAAAAGATTTCTATTTCCAACTAATTTCAACATTGATAATAATCGTAAATGTTTCTTAAGCAGCAAATCAGCATATTAGAATGATTTCTGAAGGATCATGTGACACTGGAGACTAGAATAATGATGCTGAAAATTCAGCTTTGCATCACAGAAATAAATTACATTTTACAATATATTCAAATAGAAAATACTTATTTTAAATTCTAATAATATTTCATAATATCACTGTTTTTACTGTATTTTTTTTATAAATACATGCAGCCTTGGTGAGCATAAGAGACTTCTTTCAAAAGCCTTCAAAAATCTTCTAGACCCCAAACTTTTGAACGGTAGTGTATACTGTATACATAAATAAAATAATCCAAAACATACATTTTGGCCATGAAATGGTGTTTAGTTCATCTGTATAATCTCGAAACCCACCTGTGTGGCATCCTCTATGAACCGTTCGTTTGCTGTGTGGAGGATGCTGTTCTGAATCGACGTGCCTGCGGAGGGTGCCGCTGAACAGAGTTTTCTTTGTCTTGCGCTGAGAGACGTCCTCTTCCTAAGCCAGCACAAACATTGAGCAACTTATAATATTTATCTATCACGTATCTGATATCAAATGAGTGGCCACCCATATCATCTCAAATGCACACACCTCATTTTTGGTGTTATGTTTGGATCCGCTGCGGGACAGACCAGCCCTGCGCCGCACATGAGGGAGCTTCTCTCCGGTTTCCAGAGCATATTCATGAGGAACTTCACCTGTCAATTCCTTCAAAATTAATGAAGAACAAACATGAACAAGTTTATTTTTCCTTAAAACTATTTAATTTTTATTTTGAATTTTTAAAGCAGACATATCCACTTTTGTAGAATATTATTGTAACAAAGTTCGTAGTCACGGGAAGAAGGAGGCGGGAACCGGCGGACGTTTAAATAAACTTTAATAATAAAATAAACACAAAATAGCGCGACAGCCCCTCGCGGACGACTGTCGCGCACAAACGAAACCACAACACAAAATAAAATCCAGGCCTGGTCCTCTCTCGTCCAACACTGTAGTCACTCCTCCTTTATCCTTCCGGAGCTCCTCCGTGAGACTCGAGACCGGTGAGTGGGTGCAGGTGTCCCTCATTAGCAATCACTCCACCGGCCTCGCTCCGTTCCCACGGCTCTCGGCCCCGCCCCCACTCGTCACAATTATATTTATAATCATTTAGTCAAGTTTTCACACCAAAAAAGTCAATATTTAAATTTCCATGCTTATTTTTTCACCCTTAGAATTAATTGCTGCTATATCGTATATAGGAGCTCTGTTATGATTGGCTAACATTTTTGCATATGAAATGAATTACGATATTTCTGGTAAGTTGCTGAATACTAAATACAATAGATGTTGATGTGCACGAACTGTTGGGCATATGTTAACGTGGTTGTAACGTTGTTAGCAGCTCAGTTTTTCAGCTAAATATTCATAAATGGTCTTGTGAGGGAGATTTGCGTTGTGAATGTGAATGTCACATGTACATTATTTCAAAAGAGAATCACAACCATATTGTTACATACATACGACATGACTCAAAGCACACACATCTGAAGTAACACATGCTGTGTAAAACCAGCATTTCAAAAGCCAAGCTTGTTGAGATACAAGTATTAGCAAAGATTAGCTGGGCATATGGTGGCATCTCTGCGGCGTCACATGATCTGGCAGCTCACCGATGTGTGGTTCGCCAGTGACCCCATGAAGAAATACAAAGTTTATCATGTCAAGTTTCTTGTTCTAGTTCTTCATAAATAGAACAAGTTCTGAGAAACGACTTCATTAAATTCTGATTTCTTTTTCGACACTGACCGCCTCCTGCAGACAGACGCGTTTGAGTTCTGCTATTCGAGTGTTGAGCAGCGACTGCAGACTCCTCCGGCGCTCCTGCAGCTCCACCATCCGCTCCGCACGCTGCTTACTGTCCATAGCGGCCTGCAGCTCTTTGAGAAACACACACACATCATGTTATATATCATGGAAGGGACCTCAAATCGACTTATTGTAAAGTTTTTTAAAAGGTCCTCTTCTGCTCACCAAGGCTGCATTGATTTGATCAAAAATATAGTAAAAACCAATCAAATTAAACAATACAATAAAACAATAAAAATAACAGTTTTCCATTTGAATGTATTTTAAAATGTAATTTATTGCTGTGATGCAAAGCTGAATTTTCAACATCATTACTCCAGTCTTCAGTGTCACATGATCCTTCAGAAATCAATCTTACGGACTAAATTCTTGCTGACCCCAAACTTTTGAACTGTAGTGTGCAGGTTCTAATTTTTAATAGCAATTAAAGATAGATAAATAAATACATAAATAATTGTTCCTACATTTTCCGACTGTCAGGATTGTCTTAATAATAATTTGTTTAAAATTGTGATTTCAAGGGCTAGAAAAGTCAACAACAAAAAATCCTAAGTATTTTAAGTAGATCTTAAAATCTTTAATTCTTTAAATTCTTGCCAAGAAATCATGCATAACTGAGAAAGACATGAAAAACATACCCTTAACCTTCCCTTTTTGGATAGCTCTTGGCCTTTTTTACATGTAAAATATTTAAAGATTTAAAGGTACATTTCTGCAACATTTGCATCACCAAATGGCAAATGCAAACTGCAGTTTCCAGTTTAATAATATTTAGTCCCTTCATGAAGATGTCCTTCTCTTAGAAACCTCCCAAATGTCCCCACAGTAAGGTTTTGTGAGGTCTATGTGAGAACACTTGGTCGCCACAATACACAAAAACAAAACACACAAGCTCGTCAGACTAACAATTTACAAAGTACAGGTATTATGTAGAAAGACAAGTTCTTATCACCAAACAAACACACACACAGACACATGGAGGTGCTCACCAGGGCCTGTTATCAGGTGACCTTTGACCTCCATGTCATACGTCTTTTGCGTCACCTCACTGCCTCCTGATTGTAAGTTTACCTACAGAGCCACGAAGAAAACAAACAAAACATGACAATGACAAATCTTTCTGGCAGCAGACTCAGCTGGAGTCTATTAAAACCAGACAAGCGTGTAAATAGTTGAAACGTTTCTTACCTTCTCACCTTTTGGTAACAGTCATATGTACTGCAGAGGTTTGGACTTGTGGCCATGAAGCAGATTTGCGGCTGGGTGATGCTGCAGTACTGCAGGGGGGAGCCACTGTGCTGCTGTGCAACACTTCACAAACTCAATGCCCTGAAACATAAAACAAACCACATGACACACTGGAGACCATCCACACATAAGAGCTCTGATCTAGAGACAGGCTTTGAAGACAAAGTCTCAGACTGACTACAAAGTTGCACTTAAAGTGCCCCTATTATGGGTAATGAAAGGTTCATATTTTGGTTTTGGGAGTCCCCAACAACAGGTTGACATGCATGCAAGGTCAAAAAACACTTTCATTGTCTTATAATATGCATTTATTTTACCGTACTTGCTCAACGATTCCCAAACGATTCGCTCAACGATTAATTTTTTCCAAACCCCTCCTTTGCGTGACGCTAATCTGCGGTGATTGGTCAGATTGATCTCTGCCAGAAGACCAACAAGTGGGCGGGCAATATGCTAATGTTTCATGTTGACTTCAACATGAAACGGCTTGGGATTCGTTTTAAAAACTACTCGTTTCAATGATTCAGAGTCAACTCTTTCTTTTGAGAGACAATAACTTTATACACGGTGCACTTTCAGATTTAAAACTTTCCAGGATGTTTTCATTCACTTAGAGCTGTGTTACACACTGCATGAAAGGTAATTTTCAAAAATCCATAATAGGGGCACTTTAATTTAACTGATAGAACAGGTGAGTTTTAGGAGATATAACTGATTTATCAACTCTGTCTCAGAAAATTCCTTAGGAAAATAAAAATTAGATATAAATGAGAGCCTGTTGACACAATTTTGAGTACAGAGCTATAAAATTAAATGAATAGCAGCTCAGATCATTTGGTCTTGGAGGAATTTGATGAGAAATGTTTGCGTTCAGATCTCTGACCTTTGATTACTCTGAAGTTTTAGTATCTTGGCAAAAATTTGAGACACTGAGATCTCTTTAAGATGAGATCTATTTAAAAAAAAAAAAAAGAATCAAAAAGCTTATACACACACACACATACAGTATATATTACAGTGTAGATATATATGTGTATGTGTGTGTGTGTGTGACCCTGGACCACAAAACCAGTCACAAGGGTAAATTTTTTGAAATTGAGATTTATACATCATCTGACAGTTGAATAAATAAGCTTTCTATTGATTTCTATTTTATGTTTGTTAGGATAGGACAATATTTGGCCGAGATACAACTATTTGAAAATCTGGAATCTGAGGGTGCAAAAAAATCTAAATATTGAGAAAATCACCCTTAAAGTTGTCCAAATGAAGTTCTTAGCAATGCATATTACTAATCAAAAATAAAGTTTTGAAATTTACAAAATATCTTCATGGAACATGATCTTTACTTAATATCCTAATGATTTTTGGCATTTAAAAAAATCGCTAATTTTGACCCATACAATGTATTGTTATCTATTGCTACAAATATACCCAAGCGACTTATGACTTGGTTTTGTGGTCCAGGGTCACATATAATTAAAAAAAAATTTCCAACTTGAAAATTAGAAATGTTGCCTAACTTACAATAAATTGAAATTCTAAAATCACTAAAACTGAAATAAAAATAAATTAAAGCTAAATAGAATATTTAAATAAACAAAAAACAATCCAATGGAAATACATTGAACAAAATTACTAAAACCTAAACTAAAATTAAAATGAAAATATAAAAATAAACGCTAATTCAAAATAATTATAAATACTATAAAAGTATTAGTGCTGTCAAACGATTAATCGCGATTAATCACATCCAAAATAAAAGTTTTTGTTTACATAATTTATGTGTGTGTACTGTGTATATTTACTCTTTCACTTTCAAGATCTCCGGTTGACCCAAGACACATTCACATGTGATACAGTGTGTTTTCCCCTTTCATATTCACATGGAACTGCTGTGGGAACTCCGGACAGGAAGTGGACCGCAGCGTGCAGGAAGTGGCTCGTAAAGCGGGAAGCGAGTGCGGGAAACAGAAATGGGAGGCTCAGACTGACCTATAACAACAATGCCGGCAGAAACCCTCATGCACAAAAACACTCTCTCAGGGCACGAGTCATTTCCTAAAGATCAGCCGTAAACAAGGAGGCACGGAATGAGGAGAAAGGTCGAAAAACCTCAAATACTGCAACTCACACGCTTTTTCCTGTCTGCAACCTAAATAAACGCCAAAAACCCAAATGTTTCTTTCTCGACGCCCAGTGGTGATCTATTCTTCTCAATGCATCAGAAAGTAGTTATTATCTCAGCTGCATGAGATGGGCGCCTCTATGATTGAGAAGCCGTGAATGATGGGTGTCTCTGAAAAATGCATAAGGTTATAATTATAAAGAAAGATCAATAGTCCCATTTGAGTCATATGCGAACTAACTTGGAGAAAAGAGCAGCAGATGAGTGAAACACGTCCAAATTAAAAAAAGCAACAGAACAATGTGGCTATTGTATGTTGTCATGACCTAATCATGGCCATCACACACACTAAAGGGTCAGGGGAGGACAAATAAAAGCGAGCGGGCCGATAACGTAACACAAATATGTGCGTATAGCTAGAGAAAACACGGTATCTATGCCTGTCTTGGTTTGCCTAGTGTTGGGTTTCAGCTAATGGAGTCACGCTGTTGTCAGTTTGAGCTTGATAAGATCCCTGATCTTGAAGAACTGATGCATTTGCCAATTTCTAAGCATTTATTGTAGTGTTTACCTAAATCTTCAAATGTTTTGATTAAACCCTTTCGCAATATTTATTCTTTCCAAGTTGTCCGTGAAGTTATTTCTCATAATAGCAGCATGATATGTTGATCTCATATTCATATTGAATAGTTGTACTCATTCCGAGAGTGGTTTTGTTTCTTTAGTGGTGTTTGCTAAGGAAATAATCACTATTACTATTGTTCATACTTACTGTTAAGGTTCTTGCACAGTTTTCAACCGGGCAAACTCATCTCATAGATTTATGCTGAATGAGGCAACATAGAGACCACAATATAATTTTTTTGACTTTGGCCACCTAGCAACCACTCAGTGCCCTAGCAACCTGCCAGAATCCTTAAAGCAGCCACAACGCTCGGACAATAACTCACTACTCCTTAGCATCATGGCGGGAAGTTCTGCACAGCCAAATCCTGCTCACATTGTCTGGAAAATATAAAATATAGGATAAAATTTAGATTTTGCAAGCCAGCATTAATTTGGGACTATAAATATGCACCAGACAAGCTGTGCATGTGTGTGTGTGTGTGTGTGTGTGATTCACCAGATGTCATGACAAATGTTCTGTGGTCCTCACAAGGTTTGCCAGCATTCCACTCTCTCATGTCGGAGCCTGTATTATCACTCCCGTTCAGATGTTCGTGGAAGCACAATCTGTCCATTTTTTAGTCTTCCCGCATGTGTTCCTCTAATCATCTCTATTATGTTCTCTGTAAACCTGTTGCCTAATCCGTAACATGTAAAGAGGACGTATTGTACACGTTTGTGGCATTTTATAGGATTTTTCCCCCCTTACACAACAGACAGCACATCCATCTTTCTGTTTTCTTTCCTCTTTGTTTCCTCCCTCAGCAAGATTCTCCTGACTGATCGCTGCAATCACGACCTTGATATTTCACATAACATCAACAATTTCAAATTGAAACAGAATGGCAATTTATTTTCCTCAGGACTGCAGAATGGTCTCCTCTGGGGAGCACGGTTTGTACTGAATCTTTCCTTCTCGCAGAAAGCGCTGAAGAGCGGGGGGTCAGCAGATTTTTTTGCTCCCTGGACTCTCTGCGAACTCTCTGATCCCGGTGGGATCTCCAGACGTGTTCTCTACTGTTCCGTGCCTCCGGTAATTAATCCCACACTAACGAGGAAGTGTGGACACAGCTGCGTTTCCACATCACTGGACTGCACCGAAACCATCGCACTTTCTTCACTGCAAAATTACATGCGATCACACACTGTATGGGTCACATTAATGACAAATGCACTTAGTCATAAAAGGTTTTTCTAAGGCAGAATATCATAGAGACTTGGGGTGCGCTTTTTTGAATCCTTTGGGCCTGTAAGCAGCAACTACCCAGCAACCGCTCAGACTACAAACACTTTGGCTACAGCCTACAACAGTAGGTGAGTTTTGCATGGACAACCATCACATTTTCTGCATAACACATAAAATTATGTTTATAATTATCTGCATCTTGAAATTATACACAAACTGCCATTTTCTCCATTAACAAAAAAGGGAGTGCACAGAAATCCGGCTGTCCAAACCATCGCCTGAAGCCATCCTGATCCAGATAATGGTGCTAAACAGATGCATGTGTGGCGTTGCTCTTCCGTATGAAGGTCAGTTGAGACCAAATGGCATCAAATAAGGTTTCTGAATGGCCTGGAATATGTAAGTTATAGGTAAAGGTCTTAAAGGGATAGTTCACCCAAAAATGAAAATTCTGACATCATTTACTAACCCTCAAGTTGTTCCAAACCTGTATGACTTTCTTCTGTTGAGCACAAAAGAGGATATTTTGAAGAATGCTTGTACTAAACAGTAGCTGGTGGCCATTGACTTCCATAGTAAAGGGAAATTATATGCAAGTCAATGGCAAACAGTAACTGTTTGGTTACAAACCTTCAAAATATCTTCTTTTGTGTTCAATGGAAAAGAGAAATTCATATAGGTTTGGAACAAGATTAGCGTTAGACAGAATGTGTATTTTTGTGTAAACTATTGCTTTAATGTTGTCTATTGCTCATAAATAGCTTTGATGAAATAAAAACAAACCAGCAATAAAAAAAGAAGGGGGCATAATCAAACACACAATCCTAAAAGTTTTGTGGTTTTCCATGAATAGGCCTACAGCATTTCCCAAGATCCAAAAATGGCCATTTCTCTTTTGAGGAAGACAGGAAATTTGGTAAACCAAGTATGTTTTTTTTACTGCATAATTGATGCCCTTTAAATAAAAGGGGATGTCATTCAAACAGCATCCAAATTAAAGGTGAAGTGTGTGATTTCTGTGATTTGGCAACAAACATACTGCAAAAATAAAGATTGTTTTTAAACAAGTTGCAAGAATATTCCCTCCGTCTTCTATTTTCT